GTTGTCAGGGTAACTGGTCCAGGTGAGGTGGCAGGTTGTCAGGGTAACTGGTCCAGGTGAGGTGGCAGGTTGTCAGGGTAACTGGTCCAGGTGAGAAGGGATGATGCCGACTCAGCACCAAGAAGCCCCGATGGCCCTTCAAACACCTGGGTAAAATGGCACGAGGCTCTGAAGGATCTCTAGATTGAAAAGCGCTTTGGAAGTTGGCTTTAGGAAACAGAACTGCTAAGATAGTGTTTAAAGCAGCATATTCCAAATGACCCTCAGCGAAGGGCCAGAGGTTTGTTTGCATAGCCATACATGGAACACTACTTTGTGAGATGCTGAGCTGAAATAACCTTCTTGAAATAAATGAGATAATTTTTAAAAGTAAAAACTGAGTAGTCAACACGATATAAATACAAGCTTACTAGATTCAACAAATACAAAATGACTCTAGCAGACAACTTCTAAAGTAGATCAAGTGATTATTCTCCCAATCTCTGGACTTGATTCAGGGCAGACATGTAACAGGTAGTGAGAGGTTGGGCCCGGTCTGCAGGCCAGAGCAAGTGCTACAGTTCAAGAACTCACCTTTGTCCCTACCCTCCACAGGGCAGGATTGGCAGGGGTCAGCCGCCCTGGTTAGTACGTTTAGCAAGCCGCCTTTTCATGACCTGACAAGGCAGGGCTGGTTCTCCACACGGAGAGTAGCAGGCCACAGAGAAGGTCCTAGGATGCACCTGGGCTTCAGAAAACTGAGATTCCAGAAGCCATCTCAGTTTCCTGGGCTCCCCAAAGTAGCCTGGAAGTGTGCCCTGAGGAACCCTGGGAAAAGTGTGGGCCTCAGGAGGAGGCATAGATGAAGGAAGCAGTAACCTTAGTGTTGGTCTGGCACAAAGCCTCAGTTTTCTGGCATTAGAAAGCTGGAGAACCTTTGATGAGCAACAGTGTTTTTAATGTGTGCGTGCTGATGCTGGGGCTTGAACTTAGAACCTCTTGCTCTCGCTCAGCCCTCCTACCTCTATCTACCTCCACTTCCAGCTTTTTGTTGGTTATTTGGAGATAGGAGTTATTCTGAAATACAATTCTCAGATCTCAGCCTCCCAAGTAACTAGAACTACAAGTATGAGCTACCAGTGCCTTGGATGGACAAGACAACTTGGAGGGAAATTTTCAAGTAATTTCTTTTGACATTTATTGAAAATATCTAGGGAGAGTAAAAGGATTGAAAATACATAGAACTTTCCAAGATTTAAGCCATTTATAAGACAATTTCATTATATACATTAACCACAGCCATTCAAACTGGGTTGAGAGAGGTGTGTGTGTGTACATGTATGCATGTGCGCACACACACACACACACACACACACCAGCTGTGTTTTGAATCTTCCCTCCTTTCAGTGCCTGGCAGGCTTTCCCCATAGTAGCTGGCCAGGGGCTGGATGTATGACAGATAAGCTAGGTGTGCCATTCCACATGGGCAGCAGCAGGTGTCCTGACCTATGGACTCTTCCCACCTTTGGCAGAATTGGGGTGTGTGTGTGTGTGTGTGTGTGTGTGTGTGTGTGTGTGTGTGTGTCTGTGTGTGTGTCTGTGTGTGTGTCTGTGTGTGTCTGTGCGTGAACATCCTAATATCCTAATTTTTGCACACCTGATTTTTCTTTTATCTCTTAATTATTAACCACTCACTGCATGGCAGAATCTGCACGGTGATATCCAAGTCTTGCTCCAGGTGGGCATGGGACATAATGCTGGGATGAACCTTTAAAGGTTTCATTCACAGACAGGAGCTGAAGGAAGAGGAGGCCCAACTGTCGGAATCCCAGCAAGAGCAAGGCCTCAAGGCTCAGCCAGGGACGTGAGCGCAGAGCCACTTACCACCCCTCCCTTTGCCTTTGTAGTTAATTATCTCATTTTAGTCGGAATTAAAAGGTAGTAAAATGCTCTGTGAAAATAAAATATAGTAAATGGAAGAGGGTCAGTAATAAAAGAAGAGGGGAGGGTTCCTTATACTTGTAATTGAGTTCAGAGAGTTTGTAGTTTGTTTCTTTTTAAATGGTGCCTGTGTGTAATTGTTTTTAATTGGAAAAAAGAAAGCCAAATAATTTAATGCTCAGGATGTATGTGCCTATTATGTGTCAGGCATGGGGCTAAATGGTTTGCATTTATTAACTCCTATAATAAACAGTTCAGACTTCGCTGTGTGCATGAAGGAACTGAGGCAGAGAAAAGGAAATGATCTGCCTCTCCTCCCCCCGCAACACCCTCCTTTCTGTTCCCCTCCCCCTGGACATGTTACAAGGAAGCAGGGTCGGTTCCCAAAGCCCCAGTTCCCAGCAGTTACACTCTGTGATCTCCTTTCACAACAACTCATTAAAATCCTCATCCAGCAAGCACTACTGGATCACTCCCGTAATCCTAGCTCTTCAGAAGGCTGAATAGCTAGTCCAAAGCCAAATGGGGCAGAGAAGTTCAAAATGACCGGCACAGTGGGGCTGAAAGTAGGGCTCTAGTGATTGAGTATCAGCCATGAGCATAAGAAGCAAGCAAGGGCAGGCCCTGAGTGCAGATCCCAATAATGCCAAAAAAAAAAAAAATCCCTCATGCGAAAAAACCAAGGCTCAGAGAGGTCCATGCCCAAGCTTATTCAACTAGCAAGGCGGACAGACAGACGGCTTCGTCTGTGGGTGGTGATACAAGTGGAAATGAGGAGATCCTGATCTTGGAATTATTAAGTACTTTAAGACAAGGACAACAGAGCCACCAACCAAGCACAGGCCGTTCTGAGCCCAGCTGGTCCCAGGCTGGATGCCTCTCCTGCCTCAGTGCCTCCCGCCTCCCTCCGGACGAATACACCATCATACAGCTGCAGATGAGACGCGAACAGAAAATGAATTGAGAAGAGCAGTGAACACTTCTTGAGGTGTGATTTAAGGAGTTCGGTCAGCCTGGTGCAAAGTTGGCTCCACAGCGACTCACCGAGGGACCTTCAGGAAATTGTGTCACCCCGTACCAGAGACCAGCTCTCCCCTTCCTCTTCCCTCCCCCCCCCTCCACTCCCTTTCCTCGCCTCTCCTGTGGCCATATTGCAAAGCTGGCTCTGGCTTTGAGACCCCTGATGGAATTGTGAGAAGCCAGTCATCTGGTCCCATCATCTGGCCCCAGAGTTGTTCTTTGACCTTGACTCACAGCAGATACCCTTGAGCCTCTCTCGGCCTGACTCATGTCTAGACTCCCCAGGTCGTGCTGGACTCCTCAGTGCACAAGCCAAGGCCGACTGCTGTTTGCATCATTTTCTACCTACATCACACCACCTGAAGTCCTGTGGCCTCAAGAGCCCCTGGAGTTCTCCCCTTCCATGTGCCACTCTCCTGAATCTCTGGTGCCGTATTAATCATATGTTCTCTTTCCTGGATTCAGAGGTTTTCCTATGGAGGACTTTTCTGATCCTGGAGGCCATTTCTCAGAGATAGCAAAGCACCCACTGGTTCATACAAAATGTAAGGCTCAAGAAACTCAATCATTTTTCTAAGACCAGACAGTCAAGAAGTACAGAACTAGAGTTCACACCGGAGTCTGACAAGCAGCAGTTAACACTCTGAGCTGAGTTCACAGCTGATACCGCTGACCATCCCGTCATGTGACCCTATCAGAAGCGACTCCCGGCATGGATGGATCAAGGCATAGCTATCCGGAATGTTCTACCACTCTTGAGTGAAGCTGACTGCTCCAAAGTACCCCCAAACACACTCTGGCCTTTTCCAGGCCCAGAATTCCACACATCTGCAGCCCATCTCTCCTTCTTAACCCACCCCCTCAGTTCAGATGCGCAGAATAACCAGTTGGAGACAGGCGTGCCCACAGCCACACCATGCAAGTGCGCAGTTATCAGTCATTGAGCATCACCGAGAATGGGCTGCAACTCTCAATCACTGCTGTTAGGTATCGGTCAGCTCCTGGGGGCTGTTTCTTTTCCTTGATTGTGGTGTTCTTGTGGGTTGCTATTTTGATTGTGATTTTGTTTCTTTCCAGTGTTTTGTTGCCTCCCTCTACTATTTTTCTCTCTACTGACCAGCAATGACAAGATGTCTAGCCCTACTTCAGCAAGTCAGATTGCTGAATGTCAGGAAATCTTTGTGCCTCTTTCTGATCCCAAAAACTGCTCAAATGTCCCATGCTTCTCCCTGCTCTGAAATGAGACACACCCATTCTTAAAAGCCGTGAGGCACAATGGGGAAACTGAGTGACGCCAACAACACTCAAAAAAAAGGTCATCAGTAATGCATAAAAGATATAAACCGAGAAAACATTAGTGGTTTCATACAATAGAGAAATAAATATGGCACTTGACCTTGGAATAGAACTGATGTTTGGTGGTGAAACCGGACCCATCCACGTCAACCATCCCAGCTTTCCATTGGCTTTGGAGCCTCTCCTCCCTCCAGAGTGTCACAGTGACATGGCATCTGCTCTTCTTCCTGCATCCGCTTCCCCCAGTAAATGCCAGATGGCTTCAAGGTCCAAGTGCTTTGTTTATCTTAGTGCTAGTGTAAAACTGTGCTAATCTCTTTTTCTCCCTTTTTAAAAATGTGTCACTGATGTTTCTGAATGTGGTAGCTTATTCTGTTTTTCCCACAACACTGAGGAGCTGGTAAATGTTTGTGGCATGTACGTGTGTGGTGTGTGTGGGCACACACCTGTGTGTGTGTGTACATGTGTGTTGTATATTCAGTTCAGCTAAGTGTAGCTTGCTGCGTTTCCCAGATATTTCTTAAGTAGAGAAACCTTACATCAGCAAATGGAAAATTTCCATTATCCTATCAACAGTTCCCTTGTATAGTTGTGGAGATGAATGATTTATTGGAAGAAATTCACGTTTTCAAAAACAAATGTCCTAGCAGGATTGACGGTATCCAATTTCCTTCTCATCTTTCCTTGGCTTATGCAGACTGGACCAAAAGGATTGAGTACCAGCCAGGCTCGGGGAGTGTGCCCTTATTTCCCAGCATCCGCCTGGAGACATGCGATGGCGCCGTGTCATCACTACAGGTCACTGCAGAACTTCAGACCAATTACATCGGCAAGGGCTGCGACCGCGAGACCTACTCTGAAAAGTCCCTTCAGAAATTGTGTGGTAGGTGCCTCCCACTTGGAATTTATTAACAGCTCCGAAATCATATCTACAGATAAAGTACACCCACGCTACCAGAGTAAGAGAATGAGCCCTTCCTGCCTCACTCACTCTCCAGAATAGGTACTTGCTGTTGGCAGAAGGATCAGAGCTGTTGGCATCAGACATGGCTGGTTCGGACCCTTGTGGGCTTTGGCAAGTGGTAGGGCCCAGTATCTACTCTTCACTGGCAAAATGGGGACCAAATGGCACAGTGTGTCTGAAAGCTCCTGGTATAGACCCAAGAGATGGGGCACTGTGAACAGTGATCTCAGCGTCTTGGGAAGGGGTGGTTCTTCTTTCCACCAAAGCAGCTGCATAGTTTTTAAGGCTCGGCACACTGAAATGTGGGGGCATTGTTCAACCATGATTAAGAATTTTAACATGGTCGGGCACCAGTGACTCAGGCCTATAATCCTAGCTACTCAGCTGAGATCTGAGGATCACGGTTCAAAGCCAGCCCAGGCAGAAAAGTCCATGAGACTCTTATCTCCAATAAACCACTCAAAAAACCAGAAGTGGCTCAGTGGCTCAAGTGGTAGAGCAGTAGCCTTGAGCTGAAGAGCTGAGGGACAGCATTAGGTCCAGAGTTCAAGCCCCATGACCGACAAAAAAAAAAAAAAAAGAATTTTAACATGGCAATAGTGCAACATGAAGCCACATGCTTGCAACGTACTAGGGGACCCTGGATAGGTGTTTAGAACATAACAGAACTCAGTGGGTTAACACTTTGCTGAGTGTCAAGCTCAAACCAAAATAGCCAAGGGATAAAACTTTGGTGATATATTGCCCACAGCAGGTAAGGAGAGCGTAGGAATCATCTCCAAGGAAGTGTGAGCACTTTCTTCAGGGAGGCCATGCACACTCACATGAGAAGCCCCGGGAGGGCAGGTGCATTCCTGAGCCTGTGCAAATCAAGGTATACGTTACTGCGCACACTCACTTCCTGTGCCCATGCCCGCCCCGCAGAGAGGATTCAAGCCACTGCGTTTCAGTGAGGAGATGGCGGGCTCAGAGGGCAGATGTAACGTGTTCAAGTTCACATACATAGGAGAGTGTCCCGAGCCAGAGTTTAATATCAGCATATTTTAAAACATCAGGATATTAAAAATCCTTCCAGATATCAGAAATTTTTTAGACTAACCTCTGCCAAGATCAGCCAGGCCCCAAAGCTAGAGTGCAGTTCTTCCCGGGGAGCCTGTGGACAGGAGGCTGTGCCTCCCGTAGGACCCCCTCCCCACGCTCCCCAGCTCCTCCCCAGCACCCCAGTACCTGGCTCATGCATCCTCCTGTCCACATGCCTCTTTTCCTCTCCCAGCATGTTCCTCCCCATGCACCCCAGTGAGTCCTCTTCTCCAAAGTCCAGGGACTCCCATCTGACTCCCAGCCATGAAAGCCTTACTCCTACAGGGGGCTGCACCCCCTCAGGAGAAGGCTTCTGAATGTGCAGTCTGGCCTGTCATCCCCTGTGGTGAAGTTCAGAGCTGAAGTAAAATGGTGGCTAGGTATCAACACAATCTGTCCACGGCACCAGACTGGAGGGGCCTGTGGGGCTGCAGATATCGCTGGAACAACGTATAACAACTCCAGTATTCCACACAGCTCTTGGAAAAACAAGGGAGGAAAAAAGGAAAGGATAGCAAGGACCTGTGATATTTAAGAAAAATACCTCAGGCCCTGTCCTTCCGTCTTTTATGCAGAAGTCATCCAAGATGACATGGTACTCTGAATGAATACCTTGTGTGCCTAGAGTAAAAGTCAAGCTGCCCCCCTGCTGCTGCTGTGGTGGGTTAGAGTCATTTCCTGCATGTCCCCAGGTTAGGAGCAGAAGATGAATCAGCTTGTTAAAGATCAGAAGGGCTCAAGGGCACCTGCCTGTGACTTCATTTCGCATGCTGCCAGGGAAGAGCTGGGGGGCAGAGAGGGGAGAAGGGTTTCTTGGGGAAAGGAGCTTTGGAGCAAAATCACATGTGGTCTCTGAGCAGCTCGTGCCATCTGGTCCGCCAGCCTCACCTTACTGAAAGCCATGATAATTCAGCCAGAAAGGAGAGGCAGTTCACATGCTTGTGCACACACGCACGCGCACACACACATACCACAACACAGAGCTTTCATCAAGTGCTAGGAGCTGCCGTGGAGATGAGAGAAGCCTGGCTTACCTTCCAAAAGCACCATCTACCGCTCCGGGGAATGCTTCCCAGTCACCCCGGTGGCCAGACGAGGCCCGCCTGATGTCACAAGTCTCTGGGAAAGACCACAGAAAAGGGTAGAAGCAAAAGATGGAGGACCCCTGACCCCAGGGTCTAGCTGAGCTTGAAGGGAGATGCAGGCCATGACCTTCCCAACATGGGAGGTGGGTACCTGAGTCCTGTGTGTGGGTACTGTGACTTATAGAAGATGAACGTGTGTGTGTGTGTGTGTGTGTGTGTGTGTGTGTGTGTGTGTGTGTGAATGAGTACACACACATGTGTGCACAGCATTCATGCATTTGGCATCCTACAAATCTTTATTGACTGTGGAGGGAAACGGGCCAGGGAAGGTGTTATTACCAAGTCTAAGTGAGATACAGCGGGTTCCAAACCATGGGAGCTGCAGTAGGGATGAGTGTAAGATAGAGTTAAGAGGCAAGAATCTGTGGTTGATCCTCTGTTGGATGAAGGAAGAATCTGAGACGGACCCATGGAGAGCACCTTGGCTGGACAGTGGCACAACCACCCCATGCTAGGAATCCGGAGGCAAGAGCAGAGGTCCAGGAACGTTGATGACAGTCACCTCTAGCACATCCAGTTCTGTGCTCTCCATTCTTCCAAGGCTCTGCCTGCACCCTCCGGATCCATCCTGTCGTCAGTCCATTGCTTCCTGCTGTTTATCCATCCTGCCTTGCACAGAGGCAGCAGAGAACCCCAGACCCATGTTCCTTCTACTTGTGGGCAAGACTTAGCCTAAGCCAGGCCCCACTGCCAGCTTAGGGAGATGTTGGTCAATGGCTTATCACTTCTTCTGAGGACCCACCAGCTTGGTGCCAGGCTTTCCAGAAAGGAAGAATCACAGCAGCGCTGTGTGGAACACAAGAAAGCCCTCAGTGAGAACTCTGAACCAAATCAAAGTTGACATCAACAGCAGCCCACGAGAAGGCTCACTCCAGTGACCCTCCGTCAGTACGTATTATATAAAATAGGAAAATGCTGTGTGCTGCGTATGTCTTCCATAGCTCAGAGGTCAGAGGCTGCTCCCCAGGGGAGCCCGTGGCACTTCCCGGCAGCCAGCTGCTTCCTCCTGTATACCCTGCTGGGGGCACATGCTCTATTGATAACACACGAGCTCCCAGAACAGTTCCCTTTCAGGCACAGGCCACAGTGTGCAAGCATGCTATTAAAATCACGTGCTTCACACGTCAGAGAATTACAGATGACCAGAGCTGACGCTGTTACTGGGATTTATACACTTAGTAGCCAGATTTTCAGAGAATTCACTCATATGATCATGTACTTACTGCTTTGACAAACACTGCCGCACTGCTACTTGGCTTTACTCATCTCTGTCTTCTAGAAGGCAGACATATTTGAAAAGGGTTATGATGCAGCCTTTTGCGAGCCATGAGAGTCTCTGGTTTTCTAGCGCACCTTGCAGCTTACCAGTGCTTGTCCTCACTTAGAATTTCCATCACCAGATTTGATGCCTTCAGAATAGCCCACATGGATTTTTCTTCAAGACACCAAGAGCTGAGGCTTCCAGAGGGGACAGTGTCAGGCCCCCAGCCAGAGCCAGGGCTTCCCTTACTCAGAGAGCCAAAGGCCAAGTGGCTGAGAACACACGTCAGTGAAGGACTGTATCCAAAGAGTCACGATGAGAACAGTGAACGATGGGCCTCTCTTGGCCTATGCTTATTTCTTGAGGATCACTTAAGCAATGGTCACACGACACGCTCCTGCCCCTTCCCGTGTTGGGCAGAACACATTTGCCCTCTGTGACCTCACTAGGCAGGTGGTCTACCACGTGACTCATGCCGTCCATCCTTTTTTGTTGTGGTGATTTGTCAAATAGTGTCTTGCATTTATATTAGGCCTGGTGATGGTGTTCTACTCATGCCTCTCCTTTTGCTGGGATGACAGACCGACACCACCGCAGCCAGCTTTTTATTGATGGAGAAGGTATACTTGTTAATCTCCAGCTAGCCTCAGATTGTACTCCTCTAGACTTCTGTCTCCCAAGTAGGTGGGATTGCAGGCATTAAAGGCCACACCTGGCTCCATGTGTGTTTCCTGTGCAGCAAGCACACCAGAATGAGGCCTGTCCCTTAAGTGTACTATTTTTGTCCCTGAGACTTCCATCTATTTTCACCCGGTCCTCTCTCAGTCATCCACAGGCCACTTTGATGTTCTGAGGACTCTGTCCATAGAAGAATGCAAATACACCCATGAGTGCCTTTCAAACCCCAGCGATCTGCATGCCGTCAGCACAGAGGAGGAGAGGTGCTTCATTCAGTTCCGGCACCTGCTCATGCTCACTGCCCAAGAAATCTTCCTAGGGAAATACAAAGTCACACTTCTAAAACTGTAGACAAATTACAGTAAAATTGTGAAACCTCCACTCTATCCATAGAAGGTATTTACAAGAAGACATATACAGGACGGGACTATTCTCAAACCTTCTTTCATGTCTCCTGGCCCACACTAGTACTTGTTCAATACTTTTCTCTCCAAACCTGTTTGGAAGATGTTTCTAACCAGTTCCTCCACTAGCCTATGGAATTAGCGCCAGTGTTATATCACCAGGCACAGTAAAGTCCTTACCAACGGTGGATGCTTACAGAGATGCAGAATGGCTCCCGACCGAGTCAAGCTCGGCTTCTTCTCACTAATGGAAGCCACCGGGGTTCTCTCAACACTCGGCACTCCTCCGGCACCTTCTTCTGGTGGCATGGCTGGTTTCACCCTGCCTCCCAAGTTGCCAATGGCTTCTCAAGCAGACATAAGTAACTCGCAGGACACTAATTGTCCCAGGTCACGGGGCTCGGGGTGAGGGGCGGGCCTCATTGAACCTGGGGGCCTAATGGCACATCCCAACCCAGGAGCTGAAACCCCAGGCAAGGAAACTGCCTCCTGATGAGGACCTGTGGTCCTTCTGTCCCCCTCTCACCCCCGCTGCAGGAGCCTCCTCTGGCATCATCGACCTCCTGCCCTCCCCCAGCGCAGCCACCAACTGGACAGCGGGACTGCTCGTGGACAGTGGAGAGATGATCTTCAGGTTTGACGGCAGGCAGGGTGCCAAGATCCCTGACGGGATCGTGCCCAAGAACCTGACGGACCAGTTCACCATCACCATGTGGATGCAGCACGGCCCCAGCACGGGCGTGCGGGCAGAGAAGGAGACCATCCTCTGCAACTCAGACAAAACCGGTGAGTCTCCGGCCACCCGCCTGTACACAAGAATGGAGGGGGACGAAACCAGGAGTGTTGGGGAGGAGGTGGGGGGGCGGGGCTCTGAATATACTCTGCTCTCTACTTTTCTGGCTGCTGATTTGCTGGTTTGGTGTTGGGGGGGAGATGGGGAAGGGGGAAGGTAAGTAGAGATCCGGACACAAAGAATGCAAAAGAAGAAAGCAGTGGTCTCCAAACGGGGTTCCTCAGAACTCCAGCATCCCCAAGAATGCCTCGGGGCTACTATAGGCAGGGTGGGGCCTGAGGAAAGGACCCAGTCCTCATCCTCACTTCAGCAGCGTTCCACTTTGAATATGTCATGCAAAGACTGCCAAGCGCCTTCCTTTTTGAACAAACAGTGATTTGAAAATAGCTTCCATTAGTGGAACAAATGAGGTGTGTGTCTAAGCCTGGGCAAGGCTGGCCAGGTGGTTAAAAATGCTCCATTATGTCAGGCTTGCCAGGTGGTTAAAAACGCTCCATTATGTCAGGTGCTGGCACAGCTCAAGACACAGAATGAATGCTAGCTACTCACGAGGCTGAGATCTGAGGGTTGAGGTTTGAAGACAGCCTGGGCAGGAAAGTCCATGAGATTCCTATTTCCAGTAAACCATCAAAAAGTCAGAAATGCATCACTAATCTTGAATGGAAAAGTTAAGGGACAGTGCTGGCACCCCCCCCAAAAAAAAGCTCTTAATCAGCTTTGTGACTTGGTTACGTTATATAGCCTCATTTTCCCAGTCTGTAAAGTAGGTATTGTCTCCCTCAGGCCTTAGCCTACATTAGGACAATCTGGCAGCCTCCAGGCAGGCAAAGGACTCCCCCAGTATCTGCAAAGCTCCATCTAAGTCTGTGAATCCAAGGCCGTGCTCCTTCCAAGGGGCGTGTCACCTACTCAGGGCCTGTGCTCCTCACAGACTTCTCTGTGAGCAGCAGTCGACTGAGGGCTCTGATACTGGCCTGACAAGCAGCTCCTCTCCTGCCATTCAGTGGCCTCACGGCTGGGTCCATGACGTGAGATTTCCTCAGCAAGAAAGGAAGTTTCTGTATCAGAGGAGGAAAAGGCCATTGGTGGGACAATCCCAGAATTCCATCTAATGCTGGAAAAAAATCAATTGTCCCTCCTCCCAGAAGCTACAAGTAAGCTCACTCCTCTGAACATAAATTAGATATACAGGTCTGGGAAGGTGGCTTAGTGATTGAATGCTTGCCTTGCACACCCGAAGCTTTGGGTTCAATTCCTCAGTACCACATACACAGAAAAAGCTGGAAGTGGCACTGTGGCTCAAGTGGTAGAGTGCTTGGCTTGAGCAAAGTGCTCAGGTCCAGAGTTCAAGCCTCAAGACTGTCAAAAAAAAAAAAAAGATGTACACTGTGGCCACCTTGTCATGTGTGATGAAATAAACCCTGACCACACTATGGTAAAAATTCGTGTCAACCTGAGTAGCTGGGCTGAGGCAAGGCAAGCGCTCTACCACGGAGCCCCCTTCCCAGCCCCATGGGCTGAGGCAGTACATGAGTTCAGAACCCAGCTGGCCTCTGGGCAGAAGTTTTGCTATGGGCTCTCTCTTAAATCTTTTCCTTCCATTTCGGTGAGTTCCACCAAATGTTCTAGAACATTCATCAGAACTAATTGTAAGAAAGCAGGAGAGCCCATTGCTTTGTCCCGAGAGCCGTGCTTGCGTGAGGTATCAGGCAGACTCCCCCGGCACAGGCCGACGCACGCGGGGCTTTCTCTCACTGCCCACGGCCTCTTTGTGCTTCCCAGAAATGAACCGGCATCACTATGCCCTGTACGTGCACAACTGCCGCCTTGTCTTCCTCTTGCGCAAGGACTTCGACCAAGCTGACACTTTTCGCCCTGCAGAGTTCCACTGGAAGCTGGATCAGGTAAGACTCTCGGGCACACGTGCCCCGGCGCTCAGCGCCTCCAGGGATGGTGGCAGGTAGGTATCTCTAGGATCTGGTGCTTTCAAAGAAATTAGCTCTGGAAGGCTCTCAGCATCTGGAAGTTAGGGTGGAAACTGCCCCCTTAAAGAGAAGAAGGACAAACTTCTCAACTGAGATGCCACGGGGCCAGCTGACCGGCCCGCATGCACTGTGCACTGAGCTGGTGGGAAGTGAGGCCTCCCGGCTGCCAGGCCTCCTTCATGTGTTGTTAGCACATCGTGGTGTTGTCAGTGGTCCGGGCCTCCCTTTCAGTGTTCTGCCACCTCCTGTAGGTGATGGTCCAGCTTGCTTTTAGCATCAGAAAGTAGAAAACAGGGACCTGAGGACTTTGAAGCCAATACCATCAGGGTGTTGATTTCAAGGGGAACTAATTCATGCTGGGATGCAAGTGCTTGCCAAAGTACACATATGGATTCCCTTACACAAAGATTCATTCAGAGTGTAACAGAAATCAAGGATGTCAAGCTCAGGGGATGAGTGTTTGGGAGATCCTGTGGCAACTGTCTAACCACTCCAGGAAACCTCATCCTGCTAGATCCCAGAATCCTGGGGAGATGGCAAGCAGATTTTTTGTATGCATTTTTTGTATGCGTGTCCTCTTGCATTGGGAAGAAAATCCCGTAGGAATGGGAAAATCTTGACATTATTTAGACCACTTTTTAGCAGTCTCACAACTATGTCCTAAAGTACCAGATGGCTTTTATGAGATGTTTTAAAATATATAATACAAATTGAAGGGATTTAAAATAAATTCCATATTGTGAGGGCATTTTTTTTTAAACACGAACATTGCCATACTGGTAGCAGTAATTATAGACACCCCGCGGCGGTTTCTGAGATGGGATGGAGAAGCGCGGGGACAGGCAAATGAAGTTGCAGAGTTGGAGATTAAAAATAGGCACGGGAGGAATTCTGGTTGTACAGATAAATCTATTTCAGAATCTAGCAAGAGTGAAATCTGTTCCCAAAGTAGGAACTTAAGCAAAGGCAGAGGGGCCCGCCGAATGCCTTTCAGACTCTGCTGGTCTTATCAGAGGGAGCTGCTCTGCGTCAGGCAGGCTACCTGAGCGAGCCCAGGCTCAGCGGCTTGTCCAAGGCCACACAGCAAAGTGTAGTTGGCCTCTGCCCTTTCTGACAAACGTGCGAATGTAAAATTGAACACATCTTACGATTTTAAAGTCTTTGAAATTTGTAAGAGATCAGAATTATCACTGTAATGCAAATTGTTCCTAGTCTTTGTTATTTTTATTATCTTTAGGCAGTTGTACAAAGTGTTTCAGGTGAACATGTCTGTTTGTGAGTCCTATGCATCTCAACCAATGTCACCTCTTCCGCGCTCCCCTCTCTCCCACCCCACCCACCCCCTCAAGTTGACTGGGCACCCTGAATATTATGACTGCATTCTCCCACCCTTCCTCCACCTCCTCCTTCCCTTAGCTTCACCTCCATGAGACACCAAGGTCCAGCCTTCTGGTATCCATTCTGATGAAACCCTTCAAAACTGTTGCATCTTCTCCTTGTGCAAGCTCTACCTTAGTCGTTGACTGTGCAGGCTGGCATAAAAAAAAATTTAAACACATTTTTAACCCCGGCTGTGAAACCTAAATGGTAGACATTTATTTTCACATGGCTAAAGGGTCTGGGAAGTCCAGGGGCAGGGAGATTCGGCTCCGGGTGAGGGCTGTCTTCCTGGCTTGCAGAAAACATCCTTCACACGCTGTCTTTGTGGCAGAAGTGGACAGCTCCCTTCTTTTTATTTGGGGGTGGGGGTAGTGTCAGTCGTGAGGATTGAACTCTGGGTTTGAGCACTGTCTCTCAGCTCTTCAGCTCAAGGCAAGCGTTCTACCACTTGAGCCATAGCATCACTTCTGGTTTTCTAGTGGTTTTTATTGGAGATAAGAGTCTCACGGACTTTCCTGCCTGGGCTGGCTTTGAACTGCGATCCTCAGATCTCAGCCTCCTGAGTAGCTAGGATTATAGGCGTGAGCCACTGGCGACCGGCTTCAGGGCTTCAGCTCCCTTCTTCTAAGGAACCAGCCTTATCATATAAAGAACCCACCCTTACAACCTCATTTAATTTCTGTTGCTTCCTAAAATGTCTGTCTCCAAATATGGTGGGATTTAATGTCTCAAGACATGACATTTATGAGGAAGTGACTCAGACCATACCATTTGTGTGCTAAGGAAATTGCTACTAAAAGTTACCAAAGACTGTCTATAGATGGATGGCCAGAAGCCACAGTGAGCCAAGTAAAGCATGCATGCTATACCCAGCTATGACTAGGATATGCTTGCCACATATCCCAGCCATCCAGCAGACCAGCCTGTAGATCTGACGTTCTGAAATCTGTGCAGAAAGAACCTTCTAGAAGTTGCTTGGAAATCATTTGGAGCTCAAAATGAGCATATCTTGCAAAGCCTTCTCCCCAGGAAGTCCTCCTGGCACACCTCCCCTTCCCCAGGATGCCTCTTCCCTCTTCTCCTCCTCAGATTCTGTGCAGAACTCCATCCTTGCTGTATCTCAGTCTCCACTTTATCCTGCCTGTCTGCTCTCTCTGTGCTGTGTATCTGGGGCCAAGACTGGCTCTCACCCAGCTCCCCCCTTCAGTGTTTGTAACCCTAAGCACACACTCGGTGCTCAGCGAGTGCTTGTTTGTGTAACAGTGAGTGGATATAGACATCAAAAGAAGGGAGAGATGAAGTGAGGAAGGAGGGAGAGAGGGAGGAAAAATCCTAAGATCCTCCTGGTGATTAATTGACCTTTTGATTCACTTGACTGAGCAATTTAAAATTCTAAAACTTTGTCATATTTTACTCTCTGGATCTCAAACAATGTTCATGTTTGATCTTGACAACTTATTTCAAAGACCCAGCTGGATTTGCCACCTGTGGGTCTATACTGGCCTTCACAAGGAAGGATTCAAGCCGCTGTAATTTTGCTATAGTGTGTCATAACTAAACTCCTAACCCAGCTGGGAAATTCCAGAAGCAACATGTCTGTTCTAATGCTTGATGGGCCTCACTTCTTTTAACTCGGCAGCTTATTCTGGGTACCAATCATGCTGCAGGCTCTGGCTGGGTAGCCCACCTGTCCTCACATAGGAGTCTTTGTTTTCTAGAAGTTTCCAATGATCAAGAGTCACATAGTTTGCAGTCCCATGTAATAGGTATGGACCTGGAGAAAGAAACCAGGTAAACTTCTTTGCAGGATGTCTGAAAAGACTGGAGAGCTCCATGGCCTGGGGCCAGGCAACCAGGGAGAAAGAGGGGCATTGTCAAGCCAGGTACAGGCTTAAGGACAAAGTGGAGACTTTCCGTAAATGTTAGGACCCAGGTATAAGGTGCCAACTATACTAACGTGGCAGGTGATTGCATTGATTCTTTATTCCCCAAGGATGCGCCACAATGGAAGTATCTCTTATCCAGTAGAAGAGTGCACATTAAGAATGGGAGATGTGACACTCGCCACGGCAAGTTCAGGCCCAGGCCAGGTTCTGTCGGGCTGTAGGACCAGAGTCTCTCCCTTCCTGTCTCCATAGTTGGGCCAGGGAGTCCAGCTCAAGACAGGTTTGTTTGAACAGCTAGCTCCTCCTAAGCTTGGAACCCAGGACCTGAAGTACAGGGCAGTCTGCACACAGCTCGTCAGGAGCACGGCCCTGAGTGAAGGGGTTGTCACAGCGACCCTGTGTGCTGCCAGGCCTTCCATCCCCACCTTAGAAGGCCTTTGCCAAGGTGTGCGGACAGCCAGGTAATGCCATTACCAGCCATCTCTCGGGAACACCTCTGACATCCCACTGCCTTCCACAAAAGTAATCACAACAGCAAGGAGCAGGTAACTGTAATCGGATTTTTACTTGTGACTGGTTAATGCAGATTTTTCAAGTATGCAGCAAGTCATGTGCAAACCCAGACGAGAGGAAAGAATTCCCAGCGTTCACAGACAAGGTTTATTAGTCTGTTGCCCCTTCTGACTTTAATATTATTTGGATATGGTTGACTCAGTGTTGCGAACTGTCTTGACCTCCCCCTTCAGACCTGTCGGGGCTGGGATGGAAGCTGGTTGACAGTCTACTGCAGTTCCCGCTTGGTGGTGGATACAGCTTGAGTGGCATCCTCAGCCAACCAGCAAGAGCACAGGTGCCCTTTCCTCCTATGGGGGCGGGGGGAATCACTCTGAGAAATTGTAATGAGCCTAAGATGCAGAGAGCAGATTCATTTGGTTGGATATTATGCACCAGGGCTAGGAGATGGATCTGACTCGACCCTGGGAAAGCTCACAGCTCTGCCACTTTTATTCCCGGTTGGTATACCGTGAGGAGGATTCTCGTGCAGAAGTCACACGCCCCAACAACTCTGTGCTGCCAGGATGATGAAGGAAGACCCCAGCTGCCATGCACCTCCAGGCCTTCTTCTCTTCTGAATCAGGCTTGCTACTCTACCGCCGTGCATCCAGAAGCCGATGACCAGATTTTCATGCGCAACATCCTATTTTTTTAAAATCTACCAAGCCAGATGCCAGTGACTTATGGCTGACATCCTAGCTACTCAGGAGACTGAGATCTGAGGAATGCAGTTCAAAGCCAGCCAGAGGTTGAGGGATAGCACCCAGGCCCTGAGTTCAGCCTCAGGACCAGCAAAATAAAAATAAAAATTATCATTGTAAAAAAAAAATGTCTTATCAGGCTGGGAAGTTGGCTCAGTTGTAGAATGCTTGCCTCGCATGCATGAGGCCCTGGGTTCAATTCCCCTGCACCACATAAGCAGAAAAAAGCTGGAAGTGGTGCTGTGGCTCAAGTGGTAGGGCACTCACCTTGAGCTGAAATGCTGAGGGACAGCGCCCAGGCCCAGAGTTCAGGCCCACAACTGACCAAAAAAAAATGTCTATCATTAGGCCTCATCAAGTGTTCTGCAGTGAGTGTATCTTTATCCTGTAGTCACTG